ATACAAGCTGTACACTCACTACTTTACATTGTAGCAAAGTGTCATTTCTTCAGTGTTGTCACATGAAAAGATACAATAAAATATTTACAAAAATGTGAGGGGTGGACTCACTTCTGGGAGATACTGTACCTTTCTAACCAATCCACGGTTGCTGCTTCTCTCTGCCAATCCCTTCACTGGCTTCCTGGCGTATAAAATTCAAAATACTGACCACAATATACTAAAAACAATAAAACCCCATGCTACTATAACTCTTCGGGCTTGTTTACACTTGTTTAAAAATGTGGCATTGCACGTTATTTAAAGCACTCTGAATGCCAATCAAAGCCCGTCAATAAATTAAATGGTAAGCTTACAGTCCTGTTGTGATTGGTTTGCTTCAAAATTGTACCCCATGTCACTTTCATGGTCCTTCAAAGCGTCTTCAAAGCCTCCATAGAGGACTATGACAAAGCTTTCATACAGCACCTGCAGCTTTTGAGGGACTTTTATTCAGCTTTAACTTTGCTTTGTTTATAGGTATTGCAGGTATGAGATATCTCGGTATGTACTGAGACCAAACAATTGAACCAGAAAGACCTCATCAGTAGTCAATTCCGGTTGCATGTGTACATATTCTGGAAGTGTCTGGTGTAGATTTTACATTTGGTGTGCCGTGTGGTGCAGCAGGATGGTGAGCAGGGTCCAGACTAGAGTAGAGCAACTAGCAGACGGGACATGTGGTGTGCAACATGGGAATGCACAGATGGCAAGCGGGGACTGGAGAGTGCGGAATGAGCTGCAATGGATCAGCAGAGCTAGCAGACCAGAGCAGGAGAAACTAGTAATGTCATATCTGGTGCACAGCATGGAAGCAATATAGCGGGAGGTGAGCAGGAACTAGAGAGAGTGAGGAGGATCAGCAAAGATGGGGGTACTACTGAGTGGGGCATCAACAGAGTTAGGGGTACTATACAGCAGGAAATCTGCCAAACAAAAGTACTACTAAGCTGGGGATCTGAGCGAGGGTACCAATGCTAAACATGGATACTAAGGAGCTGAGGATCTGCTGAGTAGGGGTACTACTGAGCTCGAGTTCTACTAGGCCCCTTTAAAACAAATAGAAAATCAAATAAAAGGTTAAGAACGAGTGCTGGGTGGAACAGATATTAGTAAGTGAAAAGAAGCTGCTGGCATAAAAGGCGAAACCTCAAAACCTCCTCATAAAATAAATGAACATATAATATGCAACGCTACAAACTCAATAATAAAATGGATGTTAAAATGATATACGTGTGCAAGCAACAGAACTTGGTGCTGAAACTAATAATAAAAAGCAACGACAGATATCCTGAAGAGAAAAGGTGCAAAATAGTGACAATGATGCCAAAGTCAGTCTATTCGGTGGTACTGCAAAATCATAAAACGATCCGTGACATCTGTGGCTTAGATAATGAATGTCGATTGCACTAACCAGATAGCGCAATTTATTGAGCATTTGAGTAAATAAGACCTACTCCTCGTCATCTGGATCTTGAGCACTGCAACGCAAATGGTCACCAGGTCACCAGCATCCAGGTACTAGGCATCCAAAGGTAGAAAGCTCATCACCAGGTATTCCATCATCAGCCACCAGGAGAATGTTACTCGCTCTCATATGTCAGGAATCACCTTAGGGAGGGCTTGCAGAACAAACAACCCCAAAAGAGAGGTATCCGATAGTGTAGTATTGTTTATTTAAAGGATGTAGTATAAAAACAGGTAAACAACTTACATAAAATATCAAGATGGCCGCTGGTCGTTCATAGGGACCGTGCGGGCTAGTAACACTGTGTGGGGGCACCTCTCTGACGCGTTTCGCGTAAATACACTTCTTCAAATACACTTCTTCACACGTATATCATTTTAACATCCATTTTATTATTCAATTTGTAGCGCTGCATATTATATGTTCAAATAGAAAATCAACACACACACACACACGGCATCTGCCAAGCCTAAAATCTTCAAAAAAGCATCACAGAAGCATCAAAAAACACATAAAAAAAAGTATGCTAAAGCGGTAAGCACTTTGATGTGCGTTTAAGTCGCAGCCAGTGTAAATGAGCCCTTACTATACAGTACAAATGCTGCTGCTCATAAGTGGCGACTAGTCCACTTAATGCAATACCAACCTCATCTACACAGTTTTATACAGTACATGAAATAACAGATGCAAGCAATAAACAACTTGAGTCCATGATCAGTGTTTATTGTATACACATGCTATAATTTCTCTTTTGGTTCTCCACTGTAAAGTATTCAGTGCACAACTTAATTCATAAAGTGATCTTGTGCTCTAAAGTGCCCCCCTCAAGTGTTCCCACACTCACCAGAAATATTTGACCCCCCGCATGAAGCATAAAAGAGTCATGAATGAATTTTTAAGAATGGTATCCTTTCTAGATTTTCTCCTTCACTCCTCCAGGCTCTGCCAGACTCCTCTTTCCATTCTCAAAAGCTCCACCACTTGTGCATAGGTAAGTATATGGTCATCACCCTCACCTCAGGCAGTTATGTAGATCAAAAGGGAAGAAGAGGCCATAATAGTGTACTAGTTTATGAACACATGCCACAAAAATATTTATATTCACTTAAAAACATCCAGCACACAGAATACACCTCACAAGTAAAGACCTGGAAGTACCACCTTCCCAAGTAAAGACCTGAAAGTGCAGCACTTCCAGGTCTATACTTGTGAGCTGTATTCATTCTATGTGCTGGACGTTTTTTTTTTTTTTTTTCCATTTGTTTTTATTAAGGTTTTAAACAGTACAAATGCAAAACCGTGTACAAACACTAAAAATAGGCATCAGCATATATAGTGGCTGAGATGGCCTGCACTATTGCTTACAAAACCGCTAGTGTAAGACGTTATGAACTAAGATCTTGGGAACCCCTTGCGTCTGATGTATTCTCTTCTGATAACTGTTAAGAGTCAAGGATTAACCTCAGCCATTCTTTTGATATAGAGTTTAGAGTTTTGGGGTCAGATGAATTCCCAGGTGGAGAAAACTACATCTTACATTTAATGAGATTTTTAAGGCAACTTTGGAGTATATACAAAGAAACAAATGTATTTGAAAGATCAACATTTTATTTGAACAAATTTCTTTTGTGTGACAAACCGCCACATATCAGGTAAACATTGCATATTCACCAATACAAAATACAACAATTTTATCAACTTATTCACTTCACAAAATGGTAGTTGTTGCAATATGTATCCAGTGGTATCTCCCAAAGCTGATTTCCATCTTGCAACCTCAAGGTTTGACTGCAGATATAGTCAGCCTGGGATCCAGTGCGTTTCGAATACATGAACACAAATTTTTCCTCAGGGAAAGGATACCACTCTAACAAATATTGTCAATGATCAATTATTATTAAATATCTTTATAATTATGTAATGATAAAACAAACCATATAGGGCACATAACCACCACAAATAATCAAAAGAAGATGTTTCACTATGTTAGAAGGTGAGTCACTTCTAAGAATGAGGCCATCAATTAGACGTGCAAAGACCACGGGTGCCACATCATAAACACTATTATAATGCAACATATATAAATGTAAAGCAGTGTATAATAATAACTTTAAAAGTACAACAAGGCATCAGGTCTAAAAGTTAAATAGGAATGGAGCTTATCAAACTACAAATCCCCTTATCCAATATTGGCGGGGACAAAAAAACTATATAGATCATGGTGGTATATATCGATTATAAAGATTGTTATAAAGCGGTATCCTTCCCCTAAGGAAGAATTTGTGTTCATGTATTCAAAACGTGTTGGATCCCAGGTTGAATATATCTGCAGTCAAACCTTGAGGTTGCAAGATAGAAATCAGCTTTGTGGGATACCACTGGATAAATTCCGCAATTACAAACCCTTTTGCAAAGTGAATATGTTGTTAAAATTGTTGTATTTTATATCGGTGAATATGCAGTGTTTACCTGATATGTGCTGGTTTTTCAAACAAAAGAAATTTGTTCAAATAAAATGTTGATCTTTTAAAGAATTTGTTTCTTTGTTTATACTGAAAGGTTGCCTTAAAAATCCCATTAAAAGTAAAATGTAGTTTTCTCTATTATGGAAATAGGGATAATGGCAACCACACCCTAAGCTACACTGAATGACTTTTTATAATGAATTCCCAGGTAAGGGAGAGCCTCTGATTGCCACTTGAATGGGAAAGGATTGAAGTGTTTGGACTGTTTGATGGTCTAAAGATATGTTCATGACATGCTGGATGTTTTTAAGTGAGCATAACAATTTTAGTGGCAAGAAATCCTGGGAGTAGCTGTCACCAGCTTAAAAAAAAACAATTGTCTGAAGAGACAAGAAGCAATAAAAACCATTGTCTGAATTTGAAGTGACATTACCCACACAACAAGTGTGGACACCAGAAAATAAGTCAGAACTACCAAGCCTATTCTAACAAATGAATCAACACACATGTATCTTAGCAAAATAAATCTTTTACTTAAAAATCAGAAACAAAACAATTTTTGATGTAGATACTTGGAGCCTTTGGGGGAGCAGTAAGATAACAAGGTTTGTTTATAAGAGCTACAGAAAGCAAAGCACATCACCCACAGCAACCCAATTCCAGTTGCCAGCTAAATGCACATCAGAACGAAAGCAAAATTCAGATTGGCTGCTATGGGCAACAGGCTTTCCATTCCTGTGGTTTGTGTAAATTATTTTGTAACTAGATTCATACAAACTATGACCCGCTGCTGAGCAGCAAACACCTGCCTTTTTCCACAGGGTTCTGTTTTAATTAGGGACTCGCCGTGTCTTCCTCTCTTCTACCTGTAATTTTAACCAAACGATTAATTTATGACAGGCGTGGAATGCTTGTTTCAGCAGTTTTTATGCAAATGCAGAATTATTCAAGGCAGTCTCCTAATCTGCACTGCAAGCTCCTTTTTTACTAACAATTTGTTCTGTAGTGAAGTCTCTGGGAGACTTGGATTAGCCTTCCTGGTCCGCAAGACGTTGCCTGGTCTCCATCACTATGTCTTCCATAACCTCTGTCTTCAGGAGATCCTTAATCTGCAATGTGAAGGAGGGAGAGCTCTGTAACAATGTTCAGCAATTCCAAGCTTTAAAGGCTAAGGTCACCTAAAGGACGATATCATTTTGCATGGTCACAAGCAAATAGTCATATGCTAGCTTCTTATCTAGGGGACTCTAGCTTTGTAATCTTAGTTTTGCCAGACTATGAAAAAAAACAAAATACATACAGGGGATCTCCTTTCTCCAGGAGGTAGTGATGTAATTCAGCACCACTCGCAGTGGTGGGCAGACCGAGACTCTCAGACACATTCAACATGTACAGACCTAGTGTATCCACCCACATTCACTACAATTCTCTGTGCTTGATGGGAACTGTAGTTTCCTTTTACTGCAGAGAGAGAGGATGAGATGTAATCCATGCGGATACATCCTCCTACTTGGCAGAACATATGCTGCTATCTTTTGAATTACATAGATTAGGTCATGAAAAGTCAATTAGTAAGGTTGGTAATGCTTTTCAAAATTTTATTAAAGGTTTAGTGTTTTGTGTTTGAGTTTTTTTATTTAATTTGTGATTTAGAGGGGATTTCCTCTTGGTGTGTTTGCTGCTTTGTACACAATTAGGGTGGGGTATTTGCGCAGCTTAATTATTTTATATTGCTATTAAACATGTCCAGTAAAAAAAAAAAAAAAAAAAAAATCTAATTTTGCCATACATTTAGGCCAAACTGTAGTCTGCTACGTCTTCCCTAAAAAAAAAAAAAAAAAAAATTCCCAATACGTTTAAATTAATTGGTTTACAAATGGCAATATAGATACTGGAATTTATATTTTTTTCCCCACTAGTAATGGTGGCGATCAGCGGGTCTGCGGCAGGCATTCTGACACTGGGGGGGAACTGACTTGGTGTCAATGACATCCTCAGTGACAGCAATACAGTGGTCAGTGCTAAAAAAAAACAAAAAAAAAAAAAAAACACTGACACTGTAATAATGGCACTGGGCAGGAAGGGGTTAACATGAGAGGAGATCAAAGGGATAACTGTACTGTTTCACTGTAATCACACTGCTTTGGATGGCTGTACGGTCAACAGCCATCCAAAGCTGTGTGCACGAGCTGCCAGGAAGGAGAACTGTTTTGTTTACAAACAGTTCTCCTCCGCGTCGGAGATGCTCAGCAATCACCAGGCGCCGCCGTGTAATCACCGGCCGGGGCGAATGGCGATGCATGTAGGGTGCGCGTGCCTCCTACCCAGAAATACGAAATCACACACACATACATACATATGCACGTGATTTTGCGCAAACGTGCCGCCCTAGAGCAGTATATCTGCTATAGGGCGGTCAGGAAATGGTTAAAGGCTTTTTTTTCTCTGCAACAGAGGTCCAAACTTCTATCATTTACTGCTTTTTTCTTTCTTATAAAGGATTCTCTGCGAGCCCCCCCCCCCCCCCCCCATTCCTCTTGTCAGGTGTCTCCTTGCCTTAGTAGGGTACTATGGAGACACCCGATCATGAGCGATCTAGTGTTCAGACTATAGCCCGACGTGAAGATGCTGCATGAGTCATAATGCACAGGCAGCTGGAGAGGAAAACAGACTGAAAGCATATCTCCGTTCCTCCTCCAAGGTAGGAGACTGACAGCAAGTCCCAAAGCAGCTTCTTCAGGACAATCTTTTTTTTAATGAATGAACATGCATTCCTATTAGAGCAATTAATCATGGACCGATAAGTATTCCTCCCCAACATGAACTTAAGGGATATGGCTCACAGAAAACACTATAATGCCTCTTGACACTAACAGACTTCTACGTTTAAATGGACTGTGCTATGTACAATATAATATTGCAATGTACTATTTTGGGCTATACTGATTTTTTTTTTTTTTTTTTTTTTTTAAAGAAAAGAAGCAATTAGTATATTTTGTACGCTAAAGAAATGAAGATACGCCTAGTGATATCTTTCTGATCCTTCTTTACATCTCATCCTCCAATTCTCTGCACAACAAATGAACATTGGCATCATGCTATCAGTAGGTAGTGTCTATATTGGCTTCTGAAACAGAAAAGTAATGGGTGACTAACATTTTATCTGCAGCTCTGGTAGAAGTAAGCCACACATAAAATGTAATGGGAGAGGGACAGACAGAATCAAACTGCCTGCAAAAGAAAAAATATATACAGTTGCAACTGGTAAATAAGGACCGTACCAACTCCTAAGAAACAGATTGACTTTGTGTCCCCCTTTAATATTTCACTACCACAGATGTAAAAGATGACTGTATAGTAGTGCAGAGACTGTGTGTGAGACTCACCTGGTGGGTTATAGATGCTTCATAGCAGTACAGGACACTGGTGTCATACAGCAACATCTTCTTAGCAACTAGCGCCAGGATGCAATTTCTCAGCCGCGAAATCACTTCCCGATCAGATAATGGTATAGGCTGGAGTAAAAAAAAACAAAAAAGTTAAAAAAATACTGTTTTTAAGCCTCTACAATGACTGCATAAATATACTTATAACATGTTACAATATACAACAGTATTTTTAAAATCTTCAACTTGATCATAAAAAAACTCCAGGAAGTGACTGCCAAGGCTATGTTGTTCTAATCAGTCTGCTGCAGGTAGACAAAAGAATTTTCTCTATCTCCTATCCCCCAGTGACAAGACTGCAACATTGCCACAGAGCGGGCACAGCACAGTGTACCCAAGGTTTTCATGCGGATAACCCGTACTTTCCAATAGACTTCTATTAGATTATGCATATTTGGTGCGTTTTCTGAAAGCTCACCAAAAGTCATGCATGCTGTATATTTGGTGTGATTTCAGAAAACAAACGATCTAATAGAAGTCTATGGTAAAGGTGGAAAACCCACATGAAAACTACAAGTACAATGCACTGCAACCAAACCACTATGAGGCAGTGTGAAAACGCCCTGAGCAAGAGATGATCTGTGTCAGATATTTGTAAGCAAAGCAAGTATAGTGTAGTATAGTGATCTCCCTGAGACACAATCTGGGAAATTAAAATTCCTTTTCCATTATAATGGTGCAGGAAACTTGTTTGTAGAGTGTCAAATTAACTAAGCAGATAGACCAGTTTCGGATCTGTCTGCTTCAGCCTCACTAGTTTTTATCACAGAGTGTAATAGAAACTGGTGCAGGGTTCACTACAAATTAACAAAAGTGTTGTGGCAGTTTTCAGTATAGAAATCTGGCGCAAATCCCTGCCAGGTCGGACCTGGCATATGGGATGTGAACTGTCAGCAGAAAGCTCACACCCTCTCTTTGCGCATATAGTGAATACACCTCACAAGCAGAGCCTGCAAGGTTATCAACCCTCCTCTTCCCCCTCCAAAACCTAGATGAGTAGGAAGGATGATTGGAGCAGGGGCATATTGACCATTTGGAAACTCAGACACTGCCCGAGGGCCCGGGGTCAGTAGGGGGCCCCATGAGATGCCCCTGGTACCTTTTTCACAGGCTCTTTTAAGTTTGGGCAAGGACACAGGGGCCCCATGATCCCTATTGCCCGAGGGCCCTATGAGTTGTCAGTCCGCCCCTGGATTGAAGCATGCAGCTCCAACTAAACTGCTCTGTACAGTGTCTTTCACAGACACAGCATAAACTAACGAAGAGGTTGGAGCTGCATTTGTTAATTAGGAGAAGGATCTGACCCATTTTCTCAGCTTGGAAGTGTGGTGCAGGCATAAAGCCTACACCACTCTGTTAATTCCTCCAAATGTAAATGTTACATTGTTTAGTATGAATGTACTTGAAAAACTAGATTTGATGCTAGGTCCACATTAGTGGTCATAGCTTCTCTGTGTTATGTTTTTTCACCTCCCACATTGATACAGATACAGAAAATAGATATAGATGTATATTTAGCAACTTGCAATCAGGGTTTCAATCTACATATTTATGATATTGCAACTGTGGAAACCCAGGAGGATCTTTTTTTCAGGTTTGGATTGGTCATGTGGTCCTGCTGCTCCAGATCAGGGAGCATTAAACATTGACTGGCAGTTATGGAAGCCCTGACGTCATACATAGGATCCCATGGTCCAGCTGTTGGCGCCCCCTACTCTCCCCTGCAGCAGCTGCTCATTGAAAAGGGAAGCCAGAGCTGCAGGATCATGTGACTAGAAAAGATTAACAACAGGTAAGCACAAATCCTTTTTTTTTTTTTTATTTCTACAGGTTAGGCAGGACAGGTAAGAGGAGGGAATATTTTTAAGACTATATAGTGGTAGGCTTTTCTTCCACTTTAAATAACTTACATATTACAAAAAGTACAACTGTGATATTTAAAGGCACTGGCTTTGATCTCAGGCATCAAGGCAATTATAGAGCTGTGATTTTTGCATTTTTTTCCCACAGAACTCTATTACTTACATTATAAAAAAACCACTGGAGGAGTGTGTGGCAGATGGACAGAGCTGGGAATTCTGTTGGGGATACTTCATTACTTGAGAGCTATAAAAAGCCAGCATGTGCCTAATCCTATATAGAACTCATATGTCACTACTGGATGGGGTTGCCTTTTAACATCAAGACTATAGTGATTCAGATCAGTGCTCATGGGGGAACATGAGAGTAAATGTCACCAGCCATTACAGCAGTGGCTAATGATTTTACTATTTTGTGACAGATTCTTTTTAATTCCCACAGCACTCTCTTACTGATGCTGCTGACTGGTGTTCATTTGAAAAGGCAGCCAACACTGTGCTGGCATTTAAAATATCGGTGGATTACCTCAAAATTGGTGACAACCCCCCTGCTTCGTCTTCAACCCCCACAGGGGTGGGGTACAGCCAGATGAAGCCATTGTTTCCCAGGATGATGGAGGCACCACACGGAAGATTGTGAAAGTGAGTCTTCCTCCTCTTTATCAATGAAGGGGATACTTGAACCAGGACACCTTGCCCAAGCTAAAGACAAAAAAAGATCACCAAAGGTGATATATTTGTCAAAGGCAAAGATCACGTACACATTGTTGATAACACCTCATACCTTGCCATATTTGAGGCTGCGAGTGTGCAGGGATAATGCGCCATCAGAGTACACCGCTTGGACCTCAGCCTGAGAGAGTGGGTCAAGGAAGAACCAAGCTAAATGGTAACAAATCAAAAACATTTACAAAGTCCACTTACAGACAGGACAGGACATACTCTAATGTTAATATAAATGTAAATTAATGGCCTGGGTACGATGGATAAATAAAGCACAATAAAAAAGGGGGGACATACCTTTCCTGAGGAAGATGCTTCTTTATGCTCCCTCCACTTCTGCTGGTTCACCAAAAGCCTATACATTTAGTCATGATCTCAGCTAAAGAAGACAATCAGCGTTTAGAACACCCTGTTACGAAAATATTCTATCAAAGGCCTAAGCTTTTAACCATGTGGCCAGATGTAGAAAGATTCTAGAGCAGCATTTTCTTCATCCCCTCATCCCTTTATATTATTCTGCATCCATCAAGACTGATTATAAAGGTAAATGATAACTGAATCTATATTGTATTTAGACCAACAAGAAAAGTAAATCTTTTACGTGACTGTTTCAGGGGGTAGAAATTCCAATAGCACCACACTGGAAAGGTGATGTGTTGGAACTTTGGTGCTCCGTGCCCCACCACTATCCCATGCTTTAAGGTGTCTCGGAAAGGGTGTCACTCATTATACAACAAACTGGATACTTCCATAAACCCTACCAAGAAGATGATTTTGATAGTCCTCTAACTATTCTAACATCCATGTATCCAATTTTCTATTGCATCATAACCACCACCATCCTGCAGCCTAGTGTCCAACAAGCACATGTGTCAACTTGCCTTCTGGTGCCTATGGCAAGTATAAGCATAACACAATACCTAGAATAGCCTACATGCTGGAGTTAGCCTGTGGCATCCTCAACCAGGAATTGATTTAAGGTCTTCCTGTATGCCTACAGAGTGCACTTGGAATACAAAGAGAGGGGTTCTGTTATGTATTTTCCATTCTTCAGTATGAGGTAGAAAGTGATAGGTTCCACCTCCTTGTATTCTATGTTCATGCTAGGTGTGAGTAGGGATTAACAGACAATAGCCACTTTGATTGCTAAGTACTTTATCCCATTGTTAGGTGCTTCCTAATCCTCCCTATGAAGTCCAACCTGTGCCCTCCCTTCTTGTATGCAGCCAATCTGATAACAGCTAGCAAGGAGATGGCTGCTTCACAACAGAAGCTTGTTGATGCTTTGAGCACATTCTCGTGACAGCAAGCAGCAAGACAAATGTTGAGAAAAGGGGGGATGTCAACTTCTGCATTCTCCTTGCCACTGCTGGTCTCTGCAAAGTGCTCAGAGCTAGCAAGTTAGAAAATCACTTCTTTTCACAGAGAAACATCAGGAAGTGACAGGAAAAATCTAAAGAGGCGAGGAACATTTCACTCCTGGTGTGGCACAGAACCTGACCCTCCCGGGAGAACACAGTGATTGCTGCTAGCGGTTATAGCCACTGGCAATAATTGCATGTAAAAATCAGACATGCTGGTTGTACATCAACTTGGGTACAATCAGCCTGCCCATAGATGGTTCAAATCTTGGCCGGTCCCTGCACAACCCGCTGAGATTAGAACCATCTATGGTCGGTTTTACAAAAGTGCTCCCATTGAAAGATTAACCCTCACCTCTTGTCCTGGAAACAACTCTAAAATGTTAGATTTCCTATCATATACTATAAATGTAGAGATGCAATAGGACAGTCAGCAACAACAGACTCCATTTTCTCACTTTTAAAAGCAACCTGGCAGGATAACATAAGAGCTGCAATTGCAGACTTGATTTCAATATTGCAATGCTGCTGGGTTGTAATCCATAGCCGAGTAGCTGTTCTTCTACATTGTGAACACAGGAGGTCGGCACAGGCACGATTCAGAGAATGCTTTGCATTTTATGAATGAATGAGGTGAAGACGTCATGCAGTGAATCACTTGAATCACAGACCTGGGACATATTTGCAAATATCAGGCTTCCCAAAACTGTACCAACTGCATGCTTATTCCAGGCCAATGATGAAACAAGTAGAAAAGACCAGCTCTCCCTTTAAATTGCAGCCGTCATATGTATACCTTGCATTACAAACCTTGGGCAGGCAGAACAGTTCCACAGTAAATGTTTTTAAGAGCCTACTGAGCCAGAGTCACCTTATAAATTAAAATCCCAGGATGACTGTAGAGGAACTTGTCACTTTCATCCATTTGTAATGCAGATCCCTTTAAATAGCTTAATTTCACTCAATAATAACTAATTAAGCATCCTGTCATTTCTTCTCTTTGCACCATATCAGATCCTGTTGCTCAGTAACGGCACTGTAGAAGCCCCGTGTAGTTTACCATGTCACACGTGGAAAAATATGTTGGCAAGATGCATTTATAGCCGACACAGCTGCCTGGAACAGCACCCCACAAGTCATCTTGTGCCAGCATGGCTTCTGTCAAAGGATACACTAATCAAGTCTCCTTCCTTCAGGTAGCTCCTCATTGCCAATTGGTCCTCTGCTGACCTTCTCCTCTGCAAGAGAACACAAGACATGGGGGATCGATGGACTGTATAATAATGCAGAGTCCCGGTGTGCCAGAGAGCTCTCCAGAGAAAAACCTGTGCCGTGTAAAATCTGGAGCTGGGGGAACTGCCAACGAATGTCACCGAGCACACGGGGGAGTAGAAACTACATGCATTACTCGTTAAGGAAAAACAAGCCAAAAGCAACAACTGACTTTGCTTACATATATCAGTGTGTTTTTTTATGGAACCTCATTATAGTTTTTGTTTTTAAATTAAAAAAAACTCAAACAAAAAACTTTTTTTTTTTCTTCAAGAAAACCACGGGTAAAAGTTTAGTAGTAAGTAGGTTACGGACTACTTGCCTGTGTGTCCTTATCGTTTGCGTGCTGTTGTTTGGTAGGAAAACCTACAATATACTGTGGCCTTCAACAACACAAAAGACCTGCTTGCTACATAGAGATGTTTCTTTAGGACAATGTTATAGACTGTGTTATTTAAGCAGTAAGTACATTTACTCTAATTCAATAAAAGTAATAAAAAAGTTAATGGAAGTTGAAGGTGCTGGTCTTACAATTTGAGGTGGTTGTAAACCCTTACATATACCCAGTGACTGGGCTCAGGTGATACACAGAGATGAAAAATCCTCCTACAAAAGTTGTACCTGTTTATCTGCGGTTTTTATATTCTTTCAAATTTCAGAATTTATAAAGCTTGTCTGAGAGTTCAGAAAAAAGGGTGCAGAAAGCTGAAATTACACCCTGCAAAGCTCAATGAGGAGAGCTGATTGGTGGGAAAAGACCCCCCCCCCCCCCTCCACACAGAACAGGACAGAGCGCTGTCAACCTACTGGAGCTCCCTCGCCGTCACCATGTTTTCTCTTGGTGTCAGAAAAACTTATCAAAAGTGACTCATGCTGATAACAGAGGAATAAAGAAGGAGACAGAAATGACACCTATTGCTCTTAATTGAGACAAGCACGTACTATAGATGGATATGATGTCCATATTTCATGTCTGAAGCTTACAACCACTTTAAAGCCCAAGTTTAACTAAAACAACAAAAAAAAAGAAAAATCAGTACAATGGATGTAACTTACAGTCAGAAGGATGTGTCCCTTGTGCTGACTCTTCTGTTAGTAGAAATTCTCCTCCATTCATGCACCCCTACCCACACCTCTAATCTTACGCTGCAGAAGGTGCTAAAGATTAATTCTAGATATTGACATGTTATACATCCTGTAGTTACACTGGTCTAGCTTGGACCAATGTATCTATGTATATGACATACCCGGCTGATGCCCCTGGAAGCTGGAAATCACTGAAGCAGACACCACTATTTCAGTAATCTCCATTTATTACCAGGTCTTGCGCCGAGTAGCTGTTCTTCTACATTGTGAACACAGGAGGTCGGCACAGGCACGATTCAGAGAATGCTTTGCATTTTCTGAATGAATGCATTGCTCTTGGATTAGAGGTGAAGACGTCATGCAGTGACATTTTTTTTTTTTTTGTTCTTTTCTTTTTTTCTTCTCTTTTCTTTCCATCTATTTTAGATGAGATTAGCTCTGTTAGCATTGGATGCTTGGGCCCTTTACTATTTGGAGATAATGGTTATTTTCTTGATTATTCCTTGCTCTAAAATAATTATTTAGGGTTTTTACTTTCTTGAAAGAGCTTTTGCCAGACAATGGTCTTACATTTCTTATGCAATTATGATGATTTTATTATTGTATCTTTGAATTTTAAAAAAATAAGATTAAAAAAAAAAAAAAAAGCATTCAACCAGAAAATGCAAAACATTAAAACATTCTCTGAATGATACTGAACAGCTGACCTGTATTCACAAGGCATCAAACCGACCACTCAGCATGGGACCTGCAAGCAAGTGGAGATGACTGGAGTTCCTGTGTCTACTTCAGTGATTTCTAGCTTCCAGCGGCATCAGCTAGGTATGTCATATGCATAGTTACACTGCTCCAAGCTGGGTCAATGTAACCATGTATAACATGCTGATGCCTAGACCTAACCTTCAATACAACCAGAGGGCCATCACAGGCTCCCATCAAAAGCACCAAACTATGCCCACCCTTTCCACCCACCCCGTTCTATAGCTTCTTTGAATGAAACAGGATCTAAGAATGGAAGATTGGCATATGATTTATAGCACTGACTGTAAGTGATGTCCCCCATGCTGATTTTTCTGTTTTATTTTAGCTACACTTAGTGCCGGTTCACACATATGCGGATTGGATGCGGTTTGAACTACATTCAATCCGCATGACATGTGTAAAAAACATTGCTTCCTATGCACCATGTTCACATATGTCCGATGCACTGGTACAGATTCAGTGTGGTTTGAAAAAGAGTCAAGTACGATTTCTGAGCAGGGTGGTCAGGTTCAGGTGCAGATTACAGGCTATTGATCTTTATGGGAACCATTTCTAAACCACATACAGGTGAAACTCGAAAAATTAGAATATCGTGCAATTTATTTATTTCATTTAGTTATTTAGTTCATTTATTTCAGTAATGCAACTTAAAAGGGGAAACTAATATATGAGATAGACTCATTACATGCAAGGCAAAATAGTTCAAGCCGTGATTTGTCATAATTGTGATTATGGCTTACAGCTCATGAAAACCCCAAATCCACAATCTCAGAAAATGAGAATATTGTGAAAAGGTGCAATATTCTCGGCTCAAAGTGTCCCACTCTAATCAGCTAAATAAGCCATAACACCTGCAAAGGGTTCCTGAGCCTTTAAATGGTCTCTGTCTGGTTCAGTAGGAATCACAATCATGGGAAAGACTGCTGACCTGACAGTTGTGCAGAAAACCATCATTGACACCCTCCATAAGGAGGGAAAGTCTCAAAAGGAATTGCAAAAGAAGTTGGATATTCCCAAAGTGCTGTATCACAGCACATTATTAGAACGTTATGTGGAAGGGAAAAGTGTGGAAGAAAAAAGGTGCACAAGCAGGAGGGATGACCACAGCCTGGAGAGGATTGTCAGGAAAAGGCCATTTAAAAGTGTTGGGAACTTTCACAAGAAGTGGACTGAGGCTGGAGTCAGTGCATCAAGAGCCACCACACACAGACGGATCCTGGACATGGGCTTCAAATGTCGTATTCCTCTTGTCAAGCCGCTCCTGAACAACAAAGTCAGGAGCGTCTTACCTGGGCGAAAGAAAAACAGACCTGGTCTGTTGCTCAGTGGTCCAAAGTCCTCTTTTCTGATGAGAGCAACTTTTGCATCTCATTTGGAAACCAAGGACCCAGAGTATGGAGGAAGAATGGAGAGGCACAAACTGCAAGATGCTTGAAGTCCAGTGTGAAGTTTCCACAGTCTGTGTTGATTTGGGAGCCATGTCATCTGCTGGTGTTGGTCCACTGTGCTTCATTAAGTCCAGGGTCAACGCAGCCGTCTACCAGGAGATTTTGGAGCACTTCATGCTTCCTTCCGCAGACGAGCTTTATGGGGATGCCGACTTCATTTTCCAGCAGGACTTGGCACCTGCCCACACTGCCAAAAGCACCAAAACCTGGTTCAATGACCGTGGGATTACTGCGCTTGATTGGCCAGCAAAATCGCCTGGCCTGAACCCCATAGAGAATCTATTAGGCATTGCCAAGAGAAAGATGAGAGACATGAGACCGAAGCATCCTGGTCTTCCATAAGCATGCTTATACTTTTCAGAGGTCCGATATTGTTCTATGTACAATCCTTGTTTTATTGATTGTATGTAATATTCTAATCTTCTGAAATTGTGGATTTGGGGTTTTCATGAGCTGTAAGCCATAATCATCACAATTATGACAAATCACGGCTTGAACTATCTTGCTTTGCATGTAATGAGTCTATCTCATATATTAGTTTCACCTTTTACGTTGCATTACTGAAATAAATGAACTTTTGCACGATATTCTAATTTTTCGAATTTCACCTGTATGTGTGAACGGAACAAAGTCCTGACCTAATCCTGTTCCTATTTTAGCATAACCACCCCTGCTAGAGACAAAGAAACACCCTTTATGTCAAGAGGGTCAGGGGACAGATGGGGATATTACACATATGGAACTGCCCTATGGTTAGATCTTATTATGGAATTTTATTTCACAAAACTTTGGAATCCCCAATATTTGTAACCCAAAGCGTTGCCCATTAGGAGTATTTGGTAATATGGATCTTGGAAGGAATCAAAAGACCTTTCTGAGAGTACTTTTATTTTATGCTAAAAAGACTGAAGACAATACAATTGGAAGTGAATCCCTGGAAAAGACTACAGAATGCAATCAACCCTCTCGAAAGATTACCAAGCAAGGGCAGAGACTGCCCCAATAAATTTTACAAGACTTGAAAAACTGGATATCATGTTAACTCTTGTGAGCCACCTTTCATATCCTCTACAATCTAATCATATTGACCACACCATCCATTTGTGTATCATATGGGTACTGTTAAGATCATAAAGACATTCATGTAGAAGTCAGAAGGCTGTTTCCCCCTTAATATTGACTGTGTACTGATAACACCTCCAACACCACACATGGTACTTTTTAGTTAGAATTTATTTACGGCTTCCTGATCCTATTACCTAAACTTGTGAATCATGCCCTCATGTGTCGTAGTTACATATATATTTCTGTAGTGCTACCATTCTATATGGATGTAGAAAAATGTACTGTGTAACCGTGAACTTGGTCTTGTACATAAAGTTTACTATTTAAAAAAACAAGTGATGCAAGAAAATATTTTGCAGCTACTCATAAAATCTTCTGCTTTTGTGGGAACTTCTACTTACAAAAATTAATTTTCTATGATTTCTTAAAGTAATTGTAAAGGTTCTTTAAAAAAAAAAATAAAACAAATAGCAGCATTGATCCTCTTCTTTTGGAGTTACCCACAGGAGTTCTGGGTTTCTCTTCTTCTCTGTGGGCCACCATAGGAGGAAGTTGCTTTTTATGGTGGCACAGGAGCAGACTCAATCCAGAGCTGTGCGTGTCTA